AACAGTGACTTACTTTCTAAAATTAGCAATGAATTGGTACCAACTGTCAAAGTTATACAACTTCATTAATTATTTTAAAATTAAAACAGAAGAACATGATCCTATGAAGAAAACTGACAACTTTTTCAATCAAAATTTGACAATCTAGAGGTTTCCCTACTAACACTATATTTAGCAATAAACCAGCCTTATGATCTCAGTAATGTGAACATCATTCAAGTCAGTTTCATTTGATATGTGAATTAAATAAGAGTACAAAATTGTTTAAGTTATGTTATTTCACTGAAGAGTTATTGATATGGAAGATTTAAAATTTAAATAGTAAATTACGTTGTTAAAATAGATGTAACCAGCTGTAGATAAACAATGAAATATTAATTATGACAAAATAATTTGTTAAACGACCTGCTGACCTGGTGAATACCCAGAGATAACCCAGAATAACCCCTTCAACACCATGATAACATTCCATGAATATATAATAACATCGAAACAATTAACAATATATTCATAGTTGTTTTAAGGGTATAGATTATGACATCTTAGTGGACTAAAACAAATTAAATCTGAAAAACTTCACAAGAAACCCTTAAAAACAAGAAAATAATTTGTCAATCTTTGTAAGAACAATATGGTCCTGTAGAACATAAATAAAGATTTAGATAATAGATGGCAACTATAGTAACCAACAGACAAAAAAACAAGACGGGAAAAATCCATTTCTGAATTTCAATCAAATTGCTGGTAAAGTGAATATTCAGATGACCTTGCAACAATCTCTCTATGGACAATAAAATCTCAATATATTCATATAAAGATTTAGATTCAAGACGGCAAGTGTAATAACCTTCAGAAAAATCATAAAACGAAACAACCAGACCTGTATTTTCAGTTACAGCATATATTTATATGAATACATCCCTTTACAACATACATCTTTATCACATCACTTGCTATCAATGATCTGATAATGACAGGATGAAAATTTCATTGTATGTATTTAAGGTTATCCTACCTAATCTGTTATCTGTTTGGATTAGGGTTGATGTAATTTAAGAATTAACTGGACTGAGAGATATTTAGAAGATAATGATTAATATTATAATAACACTCATCAGAGATAAAAAACACTCACTGATACTGGAGACACAAGCAAAACTGAGTTTTACGTCTACTTTTCTGTCTTGATATAGGTTAATGAAGTTTGGTTAATGAAATTTGGGATTTGCTGGATCAAGCAGAGATATCATAAAGATAATAGTAATGAGTAATAATATGATAAGATCAATCAATATCAATATCTGTAGCACACCCACCAACACCTGATAGATATATAGTCATTGTTTAAACAGACTACCTGTTCTCTGTCAAATTATCAATACTGACTCAATAGGGTGAATCATTTATGATCTCTAAATACCAAGTTTTTCAACAGAAATTCTTTTTTTAATCACCTCTGAATCAAAATTTTGAAGGAGAATCTTATTCAAAATTTCCGCTGCGTGTCCGTCAGTCAGTCAATTTGTCCACAACTAATTTGTTAAGGAGATAGGCCACAGTTTTGATCTGGCTTTGATGAAACTTGATATCCATTGCAAGATGTCAGTTGCCTAATATCTCCAAAGAATTTATTTTCTGGACAAAAATCCCATATCATCATCCTGATACCCAAAATACCCGAGCTAAAACGGCATAAAAACTTGACACCTTCTTACCATCATCTGGACACAAGAAATACACAAGTAAGAAGGACCTTCAATCTCATTCCTACCAAAATTGGCTTTACAAATTTTGACGACATGCTGAAGAAAGTGATAATATGTATTTGAAGTTTCAACCAGTTTTTAATTTAGAAGTAGTTATTCCAGGCTAGAATTAACAAACAATATTAAATAGTGAGATCTCTTTAACTTGTCAAAGGCACGAAATAGAAAAAATCACCAGAAATATAAATATGAATAACAATTCAGATCAATTGTTGTAACCACCACTTCAAAATTTAAAAACATCTTGAGACTTAAAAGTGATTGTTTCCTCCGTTAAGTGTTGATCAAGTAGAGTAGATATCGTGGTTAAAGTGATACGATCATCTAAAGATATGTACCATAAATATTCTAAATAAACATTATCAGATATGTGGACTCTCTTGGAAGAGTGAGAAAGCGCTGCGTTGCTAGCAACACCCGCCACAGTACTTGTTTGAAGCCCAACTCTCAAAAGTCTTCAGCCTTGGACTTAGAGTTAAACACTAGTGGGTAGAATAATTACCTCAGGAACAATATGATCACATGTTTAACTGTTATCTATATAGAATTTAAAATTCTAAAACAAATTTAGATTTGTAGAGCATGCCCACTCTTTCAACACACCTTATACCTCTCTGCATCTAGGCCAGTCAACTGACTTACCTTTCACATCACATATGACAAAATGTATAACGATACAAAAAGGAAAACGCACTGGTTCCCCAAGCAATAAGTAAGAAATCATGTGTGGAAACTGGTCTGAATTGGATGTTTGGATAACTTTATAAAATTTGCAAAGAATTCGCATAAAGCATTAAGTATAATAGAAGAAAATACAAAAAAACAAACAAACATTTTTTTCTACAACTGACTTGCACCGCATTTTGAATAAAATTTCACGAGATAAAAATGACGAATTCTGATTTTATATTCTAACATCACGTCATTACAGTGTGAATGTGAGTAATATCCGAACCAAAATAATTTTAAACAATACCAAGTCATTTCCTTACTAAAGTGAAAATAAACTACTTTTACTAACATTAACAGAGAAAATACCTAACTTTCTGACAGAATGGCGTAGAATAATATTTGGTTTCCTGATAAATATGTCCTACAGATATAGATTATGTAATTTCTTACATTACTTATGTAATTTTATCCACTAATATATGAAGGATCTTGAATGAGTATGAATTCTTATGTAATTGAAATGAGTTGCAGCATTTAATATTTCTAGAGCCAAATTGTATGAACCCGGAAAGAGAACTGAGTAAAATAACAGTAAATCCTCTCAGTATTTCTGTTTGTATAAACAATATTTATTAACATAATAGGATTGGAGAACAGGTTTTCACCTATAATACCCTCTCCTTTTGTAGATAAAGATGGACATCAAGTATATAGAGTTGAAATCATGGAATCTGAGGAAGGGTATACTTACTTTTCAGAAACACATGATGCTACACTGCTGTACAGTTAGAAAACTGATAATAATATTTTACCATTCTTTTACAAGAGAAAATAATATTGATTGCAACCAGATAATCATAGCCTCTGTATAATTGTGGTTTATTGTGGGTCAAGTAATTCTATTTGGTCAGGGCCAGTGCTTTCTGAAGAAAATCCACTACACTATATGACCTGTATAGTATAATCCAATATTTGACCGAAAGATGAAGAACAAATAATATTGAATTATATGTGTAGGTGTATGTCAGTGTTGTATATAATAAACAACAATATTGATATTTACTGGTGAACATGAAATATCCATTAGACTGAGTTTAACTCATCATACCTTGTTACATTATAACAAATAGTTTACACTATCAACTTAACTTTATATTATAAACTAACTCTTTACTATTCAATATCTTAACACGGCTTTATTACATCATAATGCATCAGTTGACTTAGTTTAGTTGAGAATACATGGTTGAAATCCAGGGTTCGTTTAATTCAAAAAAAACTAATTAGGAGCAGAAAAAACAATGTATCTCTCTTAATTACATTTCATTATACATTAATATCCTAACGATTCCCCCACCCCACAAAATTTTAAAATATTTGGATCATTGTTAATTAGCATAAAAACTTATGAAATTCTTACCCGGGGAAAATAATCAACTATTGAAAGCCACAAAGAGACAATGTAACAGTGAGACATAATTCTAAGTTTAGAAACACAGAGACAATAAATCAATCTAAAAAAATAGAAATATCTAGCAAATAAAACGGATTACTTCAAAGTTTAAAATATATAAACCAATCATCAAAATCACAACCCAATCTCAACACCTGGGGGTGAAAAAAAAAAAAAAGTAATAAATTATCATGATTATTTTAATCATCTGAAAATATCAATATCTTACCAGTGAGAAATAAATCCAAATCTAGGAACCAAAAACAGAAAATGAAGCAGTGGGTTCTAACTCTGCAACTACAACTAAGGTGGAACAAAAGTCTTTGTGATTACCACGACACCTGGCTTGCAGGAACTGACATAAAAAATACAAGCTTTGTGATGTTACTATAAATAGAACAAAGACTCATAGCGTGTAAAATTGAATAATCAATCTGATATTTCTAGTTCGTAACATTTTATAATGTCAAATCGATGGCCTAGAAAGATCTTTTCAATGGCTTAAAAGACCAGATGTCAAAAATACTTTCTTTCTTTAAGATATTGACTTATTTTTAACTTCAAAGGACTCAAAGTCTAAAATCATACAGCGTAAAATCATATATTTCTGTGGGTACCAAATCTCATAAGGGGGGGGGGGGGGGGCAACATTTTTTAGTTTGGGTCTGGCCCCCTGGCCCCCTGGCCCCCTGGCCCCCTGGACACATATTCTTTCTACCCTTCTACCTAACTGAAAGTTAACGTTTAATCATTTTTTTTAACAGGGTCCTTAACAGTGGAAATTTCTAATGCCTTAAATTGACCTTTGCCACCCACACGTTCCCTTTCACCTGACATATTCGGTTCAACATTCAATTTAATTAAAATTAATTCAAAATAACAAACAAAATCGAACAAAGCCTTTGACTGTAAACAGACATTTAACAAAGGACCTCATTCATTGACAAAAGATTGAAAATTATAAATAAAATTGTCATCTTGGTAAATATTTAAAAACCATTACTAGAGGGAAAAACACGCTTCATGATCAATACTGTTAAATAGATGTCTCTTTAATTTTCTATTGTATTTTAAATATCTGTCTTCTCAAACAATCAAATATTATGATGTTAATACAAGGTCGGTAGGGCCTGTGCAATGTGGGTAGGTCCGGTGCAATGTGGGTAGGGCCTGTGCAATGTGGGTAGGGCCTGTGCAATGTGGGTAGGGCCTGTGCAATGTGGGTAGGGCCTGTGCAATGTTGCTATGGCCCGTGTAATGTGGGTAGGGCCTGTGCAATGTGGGTAGGGCCTGTGCAATGTGGGTAGTGCCTGTGCAATGTGGGTAGGCCCGTGCCGTGTAGGTATCAGAGGGTGGGAGCCGATACTGGGCCGACTCTCTGTAGCAGCCTAGGGTTCAGGATTATTGATACAGTGGGGGTGATTATAAAGGCAAAGAGACAAGGTTTGGTATATGAAGGGGTAAAACTGTCATGAAAAATTTATTGTGAATTGCAAAGAAAGTTTTTATCAGGAAAAACTGAGTTTGACTCAGAACCACAATGATATCATAACATTCTATGAACGATGAATTTGTCACAGAAAGTTTTTATAAGGAATTTAAAAAGGGCAACAGAACAGTTTGACCTGAAAAACACAATGATATCATTAATTAAATCTACCAACAGGTATGTTGTAACAGCTGTAACCAATGACAACACCTCACAATGATACATTTTTTATTCAGGTTATATTCCTTGTATAATATCACTTCAGATAATTCAATAGAACAATGATATTCCAGGGGCAGGTGTTAATAGGTCACCCTGACCTTGTCTATCTTTCTCTTTTAATATTTAAATTCATCATCATCATTAACATGTATGACTTTCAACAAAGGGAAGTGATGCTTATAATTATTTTATGTTAATTATGAGAAGCAGAACAAGTTATTTCAAAATTTCTTTAAATATGAATTGTATTTGGGCTCCGCTTTCGTCATGAGGAGGCCAATTTATGACCACATACTCTTATTTGATATTCAATTTGTTATCATTATAGCTCTTTAAACATGGAGACAAGATAAAGGCTCCGTGACAGAAATCACAATTGATAATGTAATTTAGGACGAGATATTTGAACTTTCTACAAAAAAAAAATGTTCATATGATTTGGTCTCAGCTATAGAAATTACTGACTTAAAATGATATAGGCTTCCTTTTCATATCTACATATCATGCAGTGGTCATTATGTATCTACATATCATGCAGTGGTCATTATGTATCTACACATCATACAGTGGTCATTATGTATCTACATATCATACAGTGGTCATTATGTATCTACACATCATACAGTGGTCATTATGTATCTACACATCCTGCAGTGGTCATTATGTATCTACATATCATACAGTGGTCATTATGTACCTACACATCATGCAGTGGTCATTATGTATCTACACATCATACAGTGGTCATTATGTATCTACACATCCTGCAGTGGTCATTATGTATCTACACATCATACAGTGGTCATTATGTATCTACATATCATGCAGTGGTCATTATGTATCTACACATCATACAGTGGTCATTATGTATCTACATATCATACAGTGGTCATTATGTATCTACACATCATACAGTGGTCATTATGTATCTACACATCATACAGTGGTCATTATGTATCTACACATCCTGCAGTGGTCATTATGTATCTAGCAAGCTTAAGGCATTTGAAACTCCAATTAGAATACATCTTAGAAATAAGCTTAAGAACATTAAACTGAAATCAAATATTCATTGTGTGCATCTAAATTTAGATCCTCATCTTTCAATCTATCTTGAATTATTTATTTCTAATGTAAATTGTAAACAGTTTCAAGACTCTTCAAATAGGAAGGACAAAAAATATCAAGAAGATAAAATTATACAACTTATTTGATAAAACTTGGCTACGTATGAGATCCATTATAGAAAGCAGGCATTAATAAATCAAGTATAAACGATGCTCGAAATCCAAAACAGCATTTTGACGAAACATTGGTAGAAACCAATGAACTTTTCACATAAGGAAGTATATCAATCATAAGTGAGTACGTATTTCATAATGAAAAGGTGTATCAGGTGTCTAGAAGAGTAAGCATATAGCGCCTGCTGTCTGCCGTAAGTTTTTAACAAGCACAACATGCTTGCATCCTTGATGCATGGTCAGACATGACTATCAAATATAGCCAGATCAACATCCCTTCAGGTCTCTCTATGAAATAGAAGGAAGAAACGCATGTTAACCTTACCTCAAACATGTTCGAAAAAATAATTGTTGTAAAAATAAAATAATTAGAAGTGAAATGAATTAGTTGTCAGCAGGCGGCCATAGTAGTTTATTATCTCACAGCTTGAAGAGCTCTCCTGAAGCCATGACAACCAATTCAAACTATATCTATTTACAAAGAATACTTCAGAAATCATTTTCACTATTTTCTATAGAAAATATTTCTTCAAATGTCAAATGAATACAATTAAGTAACAAATTCTAATGAAGAAAGCTGTATGTTCAGTCTAATCATACTCCCTTATCAATGAATAAATAAGACTGTGGTTTACTTTATCCAAATAGATTTGTACATGAATTTGCAGTGAATTTTAAGCTGCTATTTATGGATCTATAATAGGCAGTCTGTAGAATCTATTTGATTAAAATTCAGCAGACCATGCTCACTCTTTTTGAAACACCTGATGATACTTCTCTTTGGAGGAGTCCACTACTATACAACTTTTACTCCCGATTTTTTCATACTTTGGACGAGATTTAGATTAACGGAATTGTCTTGCTTGTACGTATTTATGATCCGGATGTTACTTTTTGTGTTTTTTCTGCAGGTTACCATTCATGATCTGACTAGATTCTTCTATAAATTGTGTTGTGTTGTGTTGTGTTGTGTTTTGTTGTGTTGTGAAGGTGGAGACATTAGCTTGCTTTTCAATTACCTTCTGTCATTTGTATTGTTCACAGCCAGTATAATAGGGCCTGGAGAAAGAACAGATGTTGCATATCTCTTTATAATACAGTATTGTACAAATACACACCTTGTACATAAATACACACCTTGTACATAAATACACACCAAGCCAGAGATAACCGTCTGTTTCTAACCCTTAGTCTATAACTAGGTCACTGTGTCAAGTATATTAATAATCAGATAATTTATTCATCTTGCAGGTCACACCTGACAGCAGTGTGGTGTGTCTCCTTCAGATGGCTCAACCAACCACACCAACTCAAATCATTTCTAAGTACATTTCTCCGAGGTTGCAGGTGGGGTGGGTGGTGGCTCAGAGAGTTAGACACTTGCTCCATCAGATTTCCCCTGTCAGTGATGCAAGTTAGGAGGACTGACATGGAAAAGGGTCTTACCAATATCAAGTCACTGTACTGTACATGCTAAAGATCTCAAGATAGTTATAAAACAACACCATTTCATTTCATAAACTCAATCAAGTGACGACGGATCAAAACCCTCATTTTATTTCAATTCCAAATCTCAATGCCACTGAATACCTGGCTCTACGACATATTTATTCAGATTCAGAATCTAAGAAGTTATTTTGATACAGTAAATTTATTTCTGAATTATCTTGACCTTATCAAATTCTACGGGAGAATATCTAACCTTACACCTGATTTATTTCACCTGGTCAGTAAATAGCCAGTGGTCATCCTGTCAAACTACGACTTGTCAAATTACCATACATGGTGTTTATACTGGCTGGATACAAATTCAATTAGATCTGTCAAAATATTAGCTTCATTATTCATACTTATATTCTAGGGGTTCAGAAGGGGAGGGGGGGGGGATATCTTTCTCTGGGTGCCCACTAGTTTCAATCTCTGACAGTGGGGAGGGGAATTTTTATTTAAGACATCTTCAAACTGTTTGATAGTGTTTGAGTTATCATGTTCTGTGTGTGACGTCACCATCGCAAATACTACTTATAATATCTAAGAGCCTTTGAGATAATTATATAATTGCAGGAACCAGAATTCGATATTTGAATGGTGCACATTGATGCAAAGTGTCACCAATATACATAATAATTCAGAAAAACCTCTTCACAATCTCTTTAATACATATTTAGATGTTTAAGTCGTTGTATATAAAACTTTGGTCATGACAACCTATATCTCTAGTAATAATATTATTTGTCTATAATCAACTAATTTACTGTCGGACAGTTTAATATCAAATTATACCACATTGACATTCACTATCTTCCTATAACCTTTCATTATTCTACATTTATCACGATATACTGTATTTATCACGACTTTATACCCAACATGCCATAGATATTGTATTTGTCTCTTCAAAACTACCGCAGCAAGGCCCTTGCATGTTGCCATAGATACAATTTTAGTGCAGAAATAACTTGTAAAAATCAGAAACTGTTGTTCATGGCTGGAAAATTGAGCTTTTTAATTCATTTTGTTACGGTTTAAAGACAGAAATTCTCAAATGACTTGACGATGACAGTTCCTTTAACTCAAAACTTTCATTACTATATCATTCAAACATCCAGTATGTCATAGATAATACCAACACAGAAATACTCAGTAGGAGCTCTTACATTTTCAAATCAGGACAATTCAGCTTTTCAATTTTTGTAGCCAATGATCACCTAGCATACAATAGATAGGGCAATTGTAACTAACGAGGAGGAGGGGGGGTGGAGCTGAGAATCCTGATCACCCTACCCCCAACCCCACCTCTTTTTTCCTCCAAAACCTGGAGCTCCCATTAGAGTCATGTTTGATTGAAGCCTTAAACTGTCTGGCAGTAACTTAAGTCGTTACAAGAATTTACCTACTAAATAAATTTGTTTACATCTATTCATATTTTCATCAAATCCAAGGTCGAAATTGTCAAGAGTTTCAATGGATGTTTTCAAGATCTTCAAAACTCTTACCAAACTAGCTGACTATGCCTAACTGATTTCAAAGAAGCCACATTCCAAGATAATTGAGCAGAAACGAAAATATTTTTCCAACAGACGTCAAAATTACTCTTGACATATGAATAAATTCGCTGAACCAGAACGAAATTTTAAGATGTAATCATGGTATAATTGTTACAGTAATCATTAAATAGTACACTAGGTGGAGACACCAGTAGTCAGTTGTAGAAAAGTTTCATCTTGGTATGAATAATTTCAAAAATTCTGATTAGGTGAAAACACCAGACTCTTCGTCAGATGAACAATTATTTCCAAAAAACTTTGGTACTGATAATTCAGGAAAGATCAATGCCAAGAGGATCGGATAAGGAAAATATGTTTTTGTCTTTTCCCTTTATAAGCAGTTTTTTTTTGTTATATTTCACGGACTACATAACTTTATAATTTCAATGTGCTCTACATATTATAATCATTTACATTACAACTTTTCTTTCACAACATTCACTGATGTAAATTATAAATTTTAAGCCTTCCCAAGCGTTAAATTTTTTTTTCAAATGTTTTAAAAAAATGACTGGCTTGTCCTTCCTCCTACACCTTCCCACTGGTAAATCATGCTGTGTAGGTTTAATACAATTTCCTCTAATTATCTCATGTGAACTTTACAGGTGTTTGGTTACTTTACTTATACCTGCAGAAAAAGGTGTTTTAATCATGCATTGATAATCATGTACACCTGAAAACATAAACAATAGTAGACTCAATTATTTTAGGCAGAATTAATCATAATTGAACTGAGAGAAGAGGCGTTAATGCAGCAAAACCTAGTCTGGTGTCATTGGCGCTGACAGCTTTGATGTTGTCAATGCGATGATGAAGTAGAGGAATGATTACTTCAAATTCCAATAAAAGTTTGTGTTTGTACTGAGTAAAGGCCTTAAACAGTTCAACATCAGGTAGTGGAAGTAATAATAAACATAATTTAAGTTTAGCTTTCAGTCAATCAAGTCCAGAAAATCAGATTATGACAATGTGTTGGGTGTATTTTATCATTATTGTTTTTAGCCCAACAGGAATATGAGCATTATTAGATATTTGAGTTGTTTTATGTAGTGTAAGTTTTACACCAATATTTTATATTTCTCATATTCTTGTGGTCATACAAAATACATGACATTTCACACCATTTCTGATATGTTTGACGGATGTGGGGAAGACACAAAATCAGTTTATGACAATCACTTCTATTTCAATAGTTGTAACAATGTTGATGGTAACATGATTGTCATTTTGTTTTCAATTTTAAACCTAGATCAATATCCCAGCATGATATTTTACCAAATTGATTTTCAATCAACACCGAACGTAACAACTCATATAAATGTCAAGAATAATCCTCCTCCTTCAGTTTTCAACTTCACAGAAACATTCGCGAAAACAAAATTGATTTTATAAATAAAACATAGCTATTGCATGATGGGTTTTAAATCTGGAAACTGAGATAACATCTCGGCACGCAATATTGTAAAGTTAATTCTGTCATATTGAAGTAGAGTTGACAAACATTGAGTTACATTGAATTTGCAAATGCTTTTTTTTTGTACAAGAAGTTAGAAGGTACAGTTTATTTCACAATCTGTTCTCTGGCAAATGTTCGTTTGTAGAATGAAATTGAAGTTTCTTGTCCTCCTTTTCTGCATATAAGGACCGAAAGCTATATTCGAAATACAGTATTGAAAAAATGCAGTAATACATGCAATCTAGGATTGACGTTGAATTTACAAACACAAATGCAGAGTGACCTTTGAGAAAAAAACCATTTCGGATTGCATTTTGGAACTTCAAATGGTAAATTGTTTTTCTAAATGAATTGAGAGAGTGGTAATTGAGATATGTTTGAAGTAATGACAACAGGAAGTGGAATTATATAAAATAAGGACATTTAAAAGCACAGCTTCATTTTGCTTTTTCAATTTCAGACTGTCTTGGAACATACATTGAGTCTTACAGCTGGTTACAGTTCAGCAGCCTTGTCAACTCAGCAGCTGGAGTTTCAGCCAAGTTGGTTGGTCACAACAACTAGCTTGAGGTCTATCACTTGCTGGAGAAAATACAGAAGTGCAAGCATTTTTAGCAATGTTACACTATATTAGAGCAAAAACTAAACTGGGCAATTTCTCCTGTGCTATTATACTATCTATATAGGACTACGTTGTCTACAAATTATGCCATCGATAGCAATTGATACAGTAACACATACTGATCTGTTGTTACTGATATATTCTGCTCTGTTACCTCAAAAACATACCCAGATATTCAATGATAGTCTGTTTCATTAGCACACATTGTGCAGAAAAGTAGGACCTAAAACTCCATTCATTTTTTCAATTAAATTCTGTACTCACTTGGTGTGAAAATCAAGTTGACATGTTACAAGCTGAAGGTTTATAGTACAAGTCAGTTAGTCAGATTTAAAACTAGTCAATCAGATTAACAACTTACCTGATTAACTCTCCTTTAATCTAATTATATCTTAATCCACTATAATACTATATAGTACTGTAGGTAGTGACATGTGCTCTAATCACAGGGAGATCAATAGAACAGCCAGGTAAACTCAGCTGTATATATCTTAAAACATATTGACAAAATGATGACCTATTTAAAACTAAAGATCTACAAACAGTTGAATTTAAATAGATAGTGTTTCTATTTACTGATATGATTGTATTACAATGTATATATAAAGAGTTGTATTGGGGAGGGAGTGGGTGGAACAGCCAGGTGACATATGCTAGGTATATGGTCAGTAGAGCTCAGGGTATATCAACTATTATATACCAATATTATCATATACCCCTCCTATAAATACACCTGTACTCTAAACATATTACACCTGATCTTAATTCATATCATAATACTTATCAAAATATTCAAAAATATACAAAACGTAGAAAAACTTGAAATTTTACCCCCAAATTTCTGAGCAATGATAATTGTAGGGTAATAAATGTGATATTAAAGGTGATTTATAGACAGTATAATAACAGAATCTATTCTATGATATTAGAAGTATTTGAAGAATGTTGTCCCTAGAAGATTAATGGTGAAGTCCAGTGTAAAATAATACAATAGAATCACATTGTAAACTGATACTTTAGCCTCCTGAAGGGATGTTTACCCTAAATTAATGCAAACATGGAGTTTTACATTTTTATGCAGAAACCTTGTTTTGAAAACAAAAACAAAATGGTGGCATTTGTGGTTACCAGTACCCTACTTTTATAATATAATAAATATTATATTGAGTTCTACAGTAACTAATGTAATCATCTATTTTACAGTTAAAGAACCTTGACTAACATCTCATACTGACAATATGTGTTTCAGATACACAATCCTCATCAGGACAGTGCGAGGCATGTGAGGAAAGTGAACGAACTCACTGAACATGGTAAAGCACTGGCTTAGGTCACAAGTAGAGACTCTAGTGTAATGCGATGATGCTTGAATCATGCCTAACTGAAACAAGGCACATTTATACAAACAATTCCACCAACAAATCTTATAATCAATTTTTTTCATTAGTGTGATACTTTTTAATTAATATTCCACAATTATGATAGATTATTTCGGTATCATATTGGTGAACGTGGCCCAGGAAGATGACATGAAACAAGATATAAGTAAAACAACTCCAGTAATCTGTTCTTTGATCAACTCAATCCAGGTCTATAATTATGAGATTAACTCTTTTAGAGTCGAACTATCTCGGTCAATGATCTTAGATTAACCCTGATATCTCTTCCCCTGATATCTCTTCCCCTGATATCTGCTCCCCTGATATCTCTTCCCCTGATATCTCTTCCCCTGATATCTCTTCCCCTAATATCTCTTCCCCTAATATCTCTTCCCCTAATATCTCTTTCCCTGATATCTCTTCCCCTGATATCTCTTTCCCTGATATCTCTTCCCCTGATATCTCTTCCCCTGATATCTCTTTCCCTGATATCTCCTCACAAACTGATTTATAATACAGTAACAGAATAATATCTATAGATGACATGACTTTACATCGTTTCTTCAACACGTCTCTGAAACTATTACACATTTCTACCATGTTTCGCTTTAGGAGTTGAGTCTCGTATAAATGACCTTGGTAATAAATATTCATGTCTTGTCACTTTCAAACGGTGCAAATCAACACGATTTTACATAAACAATTTTAAGATTGGGTTTTAAAATGAGAACACAGACAGTAAACTCCTATGGTTCCAGATATACATTGATAAGGGAAGAATGATGACGAACAGGAAGAGGTAAAAAAAAAAAAAACCCTATTAAAATTTAAATTTTTATTTTATCTGTACAAATATGTCATTTCCAATTGAAATGAGCTCATGATCCACACTTATGCGTGAGAGTTTTCCTTCCTTCCAAAGTATGTCAAAGGTCGTTTCTGCGAGATCGAGATCTACGTGATGATCACCAGATTAGTGAAATATTTGTAGATGACAGTATAAAATATATACATTGTTTATAAAATAGATATATACTCTCTGGTTGATTGATGAGTATTATTATAACTATAGACTTTGTACCGGACTTGACTTAAATAATATTTTACAAACTACAATATTCATAATATTATCTATTATAGAATTAAAGGTTATTAAAAATTTCATCTGAATCATATTGGATACACAAAACTCTCTCAGTGAGCTAGACGCTTGCTAACCTGAAGGTCCTGGGTACCTCAGAATTTTCAACCCAGTTTCCCCCTGTCGGTGATGCAGGTCATAGAGGCTGACATGGAAAAAGCGTCTAGTTGTTCAGATGGGACAATAAACCGAGGCCCCGTGTACTACAGCCTGTACACGTTAAACATCCCCAGACAGTTGGAAATCGAAAAGAGCAGGCAAATGCTGCGGTCCTGGCAAAATTTTACATTGCACACTGTATGATGTTGCTCGTCTTCATTAGCCTATATGGTGCGTAAGAGTAAGATGTAAAACTTGACGGTTGACAATATTAGGTCCCAGGTGATAAGATGGTTAGTGTAATAATGTCTTCATAACCCAATACCCTAACATATCATATTATCTAGGCTAATCTTAATAATATCACTATACAGTCTGATCATATCATCATGGTGGGAAAATATTTCAGTACAGGGTAAGGGCTGGTGGGGAGTTTTATAGCAGGGTATATTTTGTACATGATATCTTGATAAGCAGTAGAGGTTTTCTGTTTTGAGTGAGTTTTATTGATTGATAGGGGGGAGGGCAGTGGCGGAGCCAGGTTTACGTGAAATATCTGAGGTTTGCCAGAATTTCTAACTTGTTATGAAATTTTTGCCCCAAAAACTTGCTCTGCCACTGGGAGAGGGGATGGAGAACAATAATATTTAAATAGTATTATTACTACTGTTTCATTAATTGATAAGTACAAGAATTGGTGGGTAGATCTTTAAAATAGTTGTGTGTCTACTGTCAGCACCAAGACCTACATCACGAGAGAAATCTAGTATACTAATAAACTATCTGATCATGCCCCCACCCTCGTTGAAAAAAAAACACCACTAGCAATCTACTATCAAATATTCATTTGACCAATACACCAAAACTAATTTCTAGTCATAATACGAAAATACAATAATATTTACAATTAATTCTCACACTGGTGTTAAAATAGGGTTTTGGAATAGACTGAAACTATCTTATTGGATTATAATAATCTCTCACCAATCTCTACCGGCCCTATAAAGGGTTAATATCTAGTCTGTACCGGCCCTATAAAGGGTTAATATCTAGTCTGTACGACCCCTGTATACAGGGTTAACATGAATCAATGAATAAAGTTTTGAGACGGGTTAATTCACACCTGAGATTACCTGGTTCTCACCTGTATTCATATCTAATATCTCATATATATACAGGTAGATAAACCTTTGATGTTACCTACAATGTTAATATCTAACTGTGATATACCTTACTCCAATAAATACTATCAATATTTTTACTACTATTACAGCAAACTCTTAACACTACTATTATCAAATCAATTTTGCATAAGGAAACTTGGGTTCTACAGCTGATTGAAGGATTTGACAAATACAACATCAAGATTTCAAGCATGGTGTTTAAGATTAAACTAAAAGCTGAAAATCAAATTATCTTCAATAGATCTTCAGGTTAGTGAGCAAGCGTCTAACTCACTGAGCCACTGCGGCTCCCCACACAACACATGCAAACTTTTAAAAGAGACACTTCAGATAAGACAAACCATGCCATGATAATCAAAATGTCACTGTTAAAGTAATATAAATTTTTAAGAATGTTCCAAAGGAAGTTTGATCTGAGACCTAAACCGGGGCTATTAAATGTCAATCACCAATATACCATCAAAAAGAACTTTCAAAGAGGTGTTCTTTAGATCAAATAAAAAGCTAAGACAGTGTCACTATCATAACAAACTATAGGGCAATTTTTACATCTTCAACTTATGCTTTTGCAAACTAACCATTTAATTTGCCACTGTCATAACAAACAAATCAAGAACAAATTGGGTTTTGTCCATTTCTGTTGAGGGTCATTTATTTATGGTCTGTCACACAGACACCACTAACAAAACTCTCAAAAGATCAAATTCAAAGTGAAAGCATCACTCATATAAACAATAGATCAATCCTCAGCCTTTGTCTTTGGAAGTTGGCCACTTAATTGCCACTTTAATAGGGGTCAGTCTTTTATCTCCTCTCACCATATACCTCTAAGACAACTTTCAAAGCTAAAAACTAAAAGTGTCACTATCATAACAAAGAAAAGAGCAATTGCTAGATCCTCAACCTTTGCTTTTGGAAGTTGGCCATTTAATTTGCCACTTTAATATCAAACAGAAGAACAAACTGGGACCTAAATCACCTCTCGTATCTCACCTATATACCACAAAGACGGCTTTCAAAGATAAAAACTAAAAGTGTCAATATCATAACAAAGAAAAGAGCAATTTCTAGATCCTCAACCTTTGCCTTTGGAAGTTGGTCATTTAATTGTCCTTTTCATATCAAACAAAAGAACAAACTAGGGCCTTAATTACCTATCATCTGACACAAACATACCACAAAGAGAACTTTCAAAGCTAAAAGTGAACATGTGACTATCATAATAAACAAGAAAGGTTTTAGTATAAGTTTTATACACCCAGCCTTTCTCACCCAATAGAGCCTCTAATTACATCTAATGACTGGTAATTGACCAATAAATGTTAAATAAATAAGTATATTTGAGGATCTGATGAGGTTATATAATATCAATTTACAGCTTGACTATGTATCAGACACATCAAATAGATTCAAACCAACCAGACTTTCTGTCAACTTTATTCAATAGAGTCTTACTTTTACTTTTCTTATTCTTCTCATTGAGCTGGTTAAAGGGACAGGTCAACCATCTGTTTAGCCGATCATACTTTAGTCTCAGAATCATGAATTTTTTAGCTGAGCTAATCAGTAATAGTGTTCACAATTCACCGTCAAAATTTTAGCCTTCAAATCCAAGTGTGTCCAGAATTATCTCTGTTTGAAAGTTAAAATGACGACGTATCTTTTCTTGAGACACATCCATATAAAGAAATAATTTCTGAAAACGCTTTACATATATTCAAGACCCAAATCAATCCAAGAAAATACCATCCAGTGTGATATGAATCAAATTTGCATCCACACTATGCTCTAGAATATCGGTCAACCCTGGTGCCCTGAAAGTTGTTTCAACCAAATGCAATGAAGTATTAGATAATATTACCTATCAAGCCAGAGTAGATAAACAACTTACACTGTGTACCAAATAAATAAGGAGAAAAGTTAATAAACAATTAGTAAGATGGTAGTGGACAGTTGATTTAATAAGGTACATGTCCATTAACCTCTTGATGGAGTGGCTAGTTTAGCTGTCTTACCGATCTCATTCACACTATACACATTTATTGTCATGATATGTTTTGTTTTCAGAATTTCCAACTCTCTTTTCAGAGCTTAACGGCCCTGTTCTGTTTTAAACCTTAAGATTTATGTTTTTAAGGGGCAGGTTTGCCATTATCAAGGGTTGATCTGGGTCTTGAATATAAACCTATCCCTTTAAGATTTGTTAAGTTGTTTTTAAAAGCCTAGTATTAATAGTTAGGGTGGTTGAAAAGTAATACTTTTCAGAAAAAGAAGTTAGTATTTGAGATACAACTGTGGTCAATTTTTGTTTCATCAGCTGATTGAGCTCAGTTTAGCTTTAGTTTTTAAACAAAGCTCATTTCAGCTCATTTCAATTTTTAAAGTTACAGCCCGTTTCAAGATGAAAAACCATCCACGTAACTTGGGAGTGAACAATGTCAGGAAAGAAAACTTCAGAACAAAATAGGCAGAACAAATCAACCGACTGATTGTAAGTAATTATATTATATCATTTATCACGGTCAGTCTGGACATCAATCTCTATAATAGACTACAGCATGACTCCATCTTTTAAACTATCACAACATCCTAGACAACCATTTCATCTCATTTCTACATAATTAGTGTACAAAATGGCTACAATATATCACAGAATAAAACTAGTTCCACCAACTTATTTGTCTACTGACTTGTCAGTCTTAACTCCCTAGTTAGATTTTTCATTTTCTAAGATTTTTTTTTTTATCTAAGTGTACAACTTGAGCAACTGACAGCATTTGATGATAATGATTGCAAGTTTTCAGTCAATTTGTACCTCTGGTCGTCAACTTAAACCATAGATTGATCTGATTATCCAGGGTGCCCCAAGTTGCTGGAAGTCTTGGTTAATCCAGTTGCTCTTAGATTCCACCAGTCACAAAGTCTAACTGATCCTCCTCTTCAATCTGATCATATTTTCCCAGATAACCCTGATTCTTGTGCCGGCCTGGTGTCGCCTGTCACCCCCAAATATCTAGCTAGCAGTCCTTATAGTCATTGAAAATTCAGGGACTTAAATCTCATCAAATTCTGCCAGTCACAAAATTTAACAGATCCTCCCTCTCCCCTCCCCTTTAAAGTGTTACTATGTCTTAGAATGAACATAAAATTTAATTCTCAAAAAAGGTCAATATGAG